GGCCATTGTTGCTCGAGCCTGTACTGAGTGGTTGAATTCCAATAACCTCTACTTGTCAGACCAATCCTGCAGCTTGTGCAGGTCAATTATCTGATTCTAATCTGCTCATTAGTTTGATATCTACGAAGTGGAATATGCCAGATAGTCTCTTCCACTACATCGTTCACGTACACCAGAAACAGTATAGGTCCAGGACAAATCATTGTAGTGAAAGGATGCAGTGATTGTCTAGGAGGAGGCATAATGCCTCCTCCTAGACAATCACTGCATCCTTTCCTCTCTTCTCCACAAATTGTCGCCCAGGCTCTCTTACTTCTCGTTTCTGGCTCTCTTGCTTACCTTTCTGTTTTCTGTTCTTTGCTTTGTTTATTTTCCCATATTCTTACATTTTTAGCTTTTGCATCGCAACATCTCTGGGTAAGGCATGGGCTCTCCTTGCTCTTACCATTGATTCTTTTGTGGGTATGTGTGTGTCCTCTGCCTCCCGGCAATGCCCAAGTGTGTGTAGTTACCTAGTTGTACTCACCTAGCTGTGGTTGCAATGGTCGAGTCAGAGTTCCTGGCCCCGCCTCTTCACTGGCAGCTACTGGGTCACTCTCCCTGCACCATGAGCTTTATCATACCTCTGCTTAAAGCTATGAATGGATCCTGCCTCTACTACATCGCTTCCCAAACTATTCCACTTCCTGTCTACTATGTGACTGAAGAAATACTTCCTAATATCCCTGTGATTTATCTGTGTCTTCAACTTTCTGCTGTGTCCGCTTGTTGCTGTGTCCCATCTCTGGAACATTGTCCACCTTGTTAATTCCTCTCAGTATTTTATATGTTGTAATCATGTCCCCCCCCTTATCTCTTCTGTCCTTCAGTGTCGTCAGGTCGATTTCCCTTAACATCTCCTAGTAGGACAGACCCCTTAGCTCTGGGACTAGTCTTGTTGCAAACCTTTGCACTTTTTCTAGTTTACGTACTTGGCTAGATGTGGGTTCCAAACTGGTGCCGCATACTCCAATATGTGTGTGCATGTGTGTGTGTGTGCATGTATGTGTGTGCATGTATGTGTGTGCATGTATGTGTGCATGTGCATGTGTGTGTGCATGGGTGTACATACCTAATTGTACTCGCCTAATTGTGGTTGCAGGGGTCGAGACTCGGCTCCTGGCCCCGCCTCTTCACTGAACACTACTAGGCCCACTCTCTCCCTGCTCCATGAGCTTTATCATACCTCGTCTTAAAACTATGTATGGTTCCTGCCTCCACTAAATCACTTGCTAGACTGTTCCACTGCCTGACTACGCTGACTGAAAAAATATTCCCTAAGATCCCTTTGACTCATCTGAGTCTTCAACTTTCAAGTGTGACCCCCTAGTGTGTGTGAGTGTGCGTGTGTGCATGCGTGTGTGCATGCGCATGTATGTATTTCTGTGTGTGTGTGTGTGTGCGCGCGCATGCATGTGCGTGCATGGCTCCCCACACATACGATTGTTAATATCGTGGCGTACACTATGCTGAAGTTATCACGAGGTAAAAGGGCTTCCCTGGCTTACACTTCCCCTTTGCTCAGTGCCACTTTCTTACCCGCAAGCGCCACTCTGTTATTCGTATCGTGCGAGTTAGTCAGCACTTTCTGCACGCTCGTACCTCCTTAACATCCCGAGAATCGTGCTCCTCTCGGTGCAGGAATATATGAAATGTAAAAAGTTGTTAAAGAATAAATTCTTGCAGAAGTATGCTTCACGGGAAGTATGGAAAACTACCTTCCCAATCTAAACTTCCACGAGAGGCTCATGGAAGTTTACTTTTAAAGACAAATGTAGTGCAAGACGCATGATAAGCAAAGCCACTAAAGGAATGACTACAAGCGGTTTAAGCATTACCTGATGGAATGGAAAACGTACAGAAAAAACAACCCAAGAGATGTTGAATATGGTAGATACAAATTACGTAGAGGAGACATGTATCAACACCAAGCAAGGGACGCAGGAAATCATATAGGGGAGACGAGAGGGAGTAAAATTAAGTGCCAGGGAAACAGCAGAGAAAAGAGCCTTAAAAAATAATAATTGGAAGACAAGCTAAAAGGCAGTTTGTAAGCGGAACCATGATCATAAAAATAGGAGAATGTCTTTCAAGGAACAGGTGGTAAAACGTGACAAAAGAGAAGAGAGGAAACACGAGATATTACAGGGAAACGTGCAACGAACTTAATAAGAAGTACAAGGTGGTATTTATGGTAGAACATGAAGAGAAACGCGACGCCATTGACAACATAATCAAGTACTGAAACATAAACGCAAGAAAATGAAGAGAAACTTCTCAGAGATCTATATACAACCAAATTAATGTGACCCAACAACAAGACTCTTGGATACTGAAAGAAACAGAAACTCAAAATGGACCCATAAAGAGGATCTCAGCGGCTCAGTGGACATGGGCCAGCTGCAGGAAATCTGGGAAAAAAATAAATGTTCTTATTTTCAGACAAAACACAGATCGGTATCACTAATAGGCCTACTGGCCTAAGTCTTCACAAGAGTGTAGTGAGGTGGCTCGTGGATTTGTCAGAGAAAATCGACACGGATTTTTTATATGGAAAAATTCTCTTATACCGTGGAATAGGAACACCGACCGGTTCTGGCGTAGAAAAGAATGAAGACGACGATGTCTTTCGGTTAGCGACATTATGATATAAAAAAAATTATATATTATGAACAATCATGACTCAAGCCACAGACTACTAGGATTGGAAAACCATTCTATTAGCGTTCGAAACACATTATCATTAATACCACTCAATTCACAATATATTATCTCACCATTATTATAATATAAAACATTATTAACCTTATAACTGCACACTTAGTCAAACTAATACACCACACTAGCCAACAATGCAATTAACTACACACTACTACAAACATCCTGAAACACACCTTAACTACACACAAGCACAACCACAAATAACTACCACAACAACACAACATCCTAAACCACCTAACTACCACCACAACACAAACCATCCCTAAACCACCCTTAACTACCACCACAAGCACAAACCATCCCTACAACCCCCTTAACTACCACCACAAGCACAAACCATCCCTACAACCACCCTTAACTACCACCACAAGCACAAACCATCCCTAAACCACCCTTAACTACCACCACAAGCACAAACCATCCCTACAACCACCCTTAACTACCACCACAAGCACAAACCATCCCTACAACCACCTTAACTACCACCACAAGCACAAACCATCCCTACAACCACCCTTAACTACCACCACAAGCACAAACCATCCCTACAACCACCCTTAACTACCACCACAAGCACAAACCATCCCTACAACCACCCTTAACTACCACCACAAGCACAAACCATCCCTACAACCACTCTTAACTACCACCACAAGCACAAACCATCCCTACAACCACTCTTAACTACCACCACAAGCACAAACCATCCCTACAACCACCCTTAACTACCACCACAAGCACAAACCTCCCTACAACACCCTTAACTACCACCACAAGCACAAACCATCCCTATAACCACCCTTAACTACCACCACAAGCACAAACCATCCCTACAACCACCCTTAACTACCACCACAAGCACAAACCATCCCTACAACCACTCTTAACTACCACCACAAGCACAAACCATCCCTACAACCACCCTTAACTACCACCACAAGCACAAACCATCCCTACAACCACTCTTAACTACCACCACAAGCACAAACCATCCCTATAACCACCCTTAACTACCACCACAAGCACAAACCATCCCTACAACCACCCGTAACTACCACCACAAGCACAAACCATCCCTACAACCACCCTTAACTACCACCACAAGCACAAACCATCCCTACAACCACCCTTAACTACCACCACAAGCACAAACCATCCCTACAACCACCCTTAACTACCACCACAAGCACAAACCATCCCTACAACCACCCTTAACTACCATCACAAGCACAAACCATCCCTACAACCACCCTTAACTACCACCACAAGCACAAACCATCCCTACAACCACCCTTAACTACCACCACAAGCACAAACCATCCCTACAACCACCCTTAACTACCACCACAAGCACAAACCATCCCTACAACCACCCTTAACTACCACCACAAGCACAAACCATCCCTACAACCACCCTTAACTACCACCACAAGCACAAACCATCCCTACAATCACCCTTAACTACCACCACAATCACCATCCATCCCTACAACCACCCTTAATTTCCACCACAATCACCACCCATCCCTACAACCACCCTTAACTACCACCACAATCACCAACTGCAACAACCACAATCACCAACATTTATCACCAGTAATTCCTGAACAATATCATGAAGGACAGACTGCAACAGGTCGTAATCAACTGTAAAAGGAAATCCATTATTTAATCAGAGGAGTTTGCAAGTCCTAATCAGCTTCAGACAACTACTGTGACCACTGAAAACATGACCTTAATTCCCTGGAAAACTGCACAAAAAATTTTTTTTTTCTTTCTCATTTGGATAAAAAATGTTTTTGTTGGTCTATTCCGGGATCAATTGCCAATTATAATTTTTTTTGAAGTTAAGCTCGATGATTTGTGAAGACTAATATTTTTGTGTGTGTGTGTGCGTGTGTGTGCGTGTGTGTGCGTGTGTGTGCGGTGTGTGTGTGTGTGTGTGTGTGTGTGTGTGTGTGTGTGTGTGTGTGTGTGTGTGTGTGTGTGTGTGTGTGTGTGTGTGTGATTACCACTTTATAGTTAGATAAGCAGAGTAATGCTCGTGGTGGTCCATCTAAAGTGTTTTATCAAACAAATACTTTTATTAAATTTCTTGTGATTGCAGCACTTTCTACGTCCTCTCCTGTGATCTCATCTCATTGCTTTACCACGATGCGAAGAGCGTTCTAGTATCCCTTCGGCACTTTTTTTTTTTTGGTTTCATGTGTAAATAATGATTGTTTGCTCTGTGTTGACAGTGAACAACCAGTCACTGTTGCGGTGCACTCACGACGAGGCTGTGAGTGAACTGAGGCAAGCAGGTGACGAGGTACTGCTGACAGTGCGACACTACAAGGCCGCTACTCCCTTCCTCAACAAGAATGACGGTGGGTAAGCCACACACTCCACTCTAGTTGATAGTAAAGTCCCTCACTCGCCTGTCTAGTTGACAGTAAAGTCCCTCACTCGCCTGTGTAGTTGATAGTACTATCACTTTCCTGTCTAGTTGATGGTACTGTCACTTATTCTCCTCTCTAGTTCATAGTACCATTCCTCACTATCCTCTCTAGTTCTTAGTACCAACTATATCTCTTTAGTCCATAGGGTTACCTGGTTCACAATCCCGTTGCTGTCTGTTATCAAGTTCATAGTACTGTTCTATAGTATTTAGTTCTGTTCTTTATTGTTCACTGCTTCGCAGTGCTGTTCCTTACAGCCTTCTAGTATGTAGAACCGTTCTTTATTGTTCTCTAGTTCGTTGTATGGATTTTTATTATTTGATCGTAGTACTTTTTTATTTTTTATTAATTTCTCATGTAAATTTCATATCTCTATTACTATAATGGAATTTCTTAGTGAACTTGCTTTTCTATTTCCTAAGTCACAGAACAACTCTGTTATAAATGGCCCATTGTATTCCAGTTTCTAAACTTTAACGCACTAAGCAATGTCTAGCTGTGAATAGTGAGAGTAGCAAAATGCTAGGTAACATAGCTAGAAATTTTCAATACAAACGAAACACAAACAACATTGCCTCTGTACAACTTCGTGTTAGACCTCGAATTGAATATTCTGTTCCATTCTTCTCCAAAAAATCCGTGAAAGAAGATAAACTGGAGAGGGCGAACAGAACGTCAACATAGATCGCATCAAGAAAGGTATATTAAACTGCGAAAGTGTGTAAATTAGGCACATGTACATCATTATGGAACGTATCATGATTAGAAAATATCCCTAACGCATCACATGTACAATAAATAAGGCTCGTATATTTATCAACAAATAAACTTTGTGAAGAAAATTTCCAAGTGTATAAACTGGTCTCTCAAAGGGAGAGTATCAGATCTAATTTAAGAATATAAGATGCTGAACAGGCTTAACACACTCAAACATGAACTCTTTGGGGAACCAAAAAGAAAGATGCAATGGATCGAAGAAACAGGTTGAAACTCTCAGGCAAGAGATGCAACAACAACGTGGGGTAAGGTCATGACTGCAACACGCTACTCTCCGAAGTTGTAAGAGTAAATACTGTCCTTTAAGAACTGACATGAGACACATTGTGAAAATATTTGATTCAGGTGAACACAGTACAAGAACCAGATTAAGGCCACAGAAGCTTCATCATCAGGGACAGTTGTGGAGGTAGCGGTATTAGTAGTGTTAGTAATAGCAGCAAGGGTAATCTATAATAGTAGTAGTAAAAGCAGCGGGAAGGATAGTAGTAATAAAGATTATGCTAGTAGTAGTAACAGCAGTAGTAGTAATAGTAGCAACAGCAGTTGCAATAGTAATAGCAGCAGCAACTGTTGCAATACCAGCATCTTTAGTAGCAGCAAGTATAGCATTGCTAGTAGTAGCAGCAGTGATAGTAGTAGTAGTAGTAGTAGTAGTAAGACTAACCTGTACTTGCAGGTACTTTTCTCTGTACGGCATGGTAGCTGGCAAAGAGTAATGCAATTTGTCAAAGGGAAATTGACACTGGTAGCAGAGAACCTTTTATTACGTCGTTTCACCAAAAGGCTGGACTTTATCAAGATTGGACCTCATCATGGTTGGGCTTTATCAAGGATGGGTTTTATCAATGCTGGAAATATCAAGGCTTAGTTTAATCGACTATACTGGAACAAGCAAACACACCGCCATGTAAGGCGGTGTATTTCATTATTCCTTCACATAAACAAAGCCAAGCCTAGAGTGACGCACCATAATAAAAGAATTTACTGTTACTGCTGTCTTTATTTCCGTGTAGCAGTTGTCTTCACCCCCGTTTTGTCATGTGTGAACCGCTGGAAGCGGAGGAAGGGGTAAGAACCTCTGTTATACTGTTACCTCATTTGTTTATACAAGAGTAAAGATGGCCAGACTGGAATTCATTATTTCTCAGAATACAATCTCGATATTAACCGTAATGTCTTCTGTTAACTGTCTTTTCCATGTACTCACTTTTTACCTCTCTTTTCTGCCAACATTTTCTGCAATATTATACTCTGGCCATTAAGGCAAGCTTCCTCCTCAGACTTTCCCAAGAGTGTAACTCAGCAGTGACCATGGGACGCGAGGTTCACACGCAACCAGGACATAAATCCTTATGGTACATTAATGGAATTTGGAACTATATGTTTATTAGGCCATGTAATTATGCAAGGTTTAAACATTCTGAGGATTTGTGTATGATTAAAAGAATTTTATATTGCATAAGGAGCACAATATTGTATTTATGTAATTTATTAGGACTCATGTAATATTATTGCAAAGTTATTAAATCATCATTCTTTTTTTGTATATGTAGTAATTTGTCTTATCTTAATTACGTTCATCTATAACTCTATGTATAATTATATAAAAGTGAATTAAAAATAATGATATTTTAATAACTATGACATGTGAATATCACTTACTATATATATATCAAAATAATATTTAAAGACAAATATACATTATATACTAAGCAAAACCTTAAATAGAAATTACACAGTGGATATCAATTATAAATGACTTGGTAAAGATCAATAACATAATCTGCCCACTGCATTTCGATCCCAAACGTAGAACTTGACGCGCGCCGACCCAACTTGTAGTCCTTACTCCCTGAAAACTATTCTACCCTAGATAAGAATCTTAAAATTTTCAGTGTATTATTAAATCCTGGGCATATTAAAGTTTATGTGATTATATTATATATATATATATATATATATATATATATATATATATATATATATATATATATATATATATATATATATATATAATTGTTGTTTATAATAAATCCTCCATAACTGTAACTCTTCCTTAAACATTCCTTTGCGTCCGCTTGCACCAGAAAGATAAACAACTGCCTTGATGCGAAGCTGTAGACAAATATTGAGCTTCAGAGAAGCCTGAGGAGGACAGCAATATGTAAGCTGAATTTCAAAGGATCTGACACATTTGTTTTGCTTCCGCACATAATCTTGCGACATCAGCTGCGGTTTGTGTTTAGCCCAGTGTGTTGTTCTCGGTCCATTGGGTTTGTGCATTAGTATTTACAGGAGTGTGGCTGTAGGCGTTCTTTATCTATCTCTTTGTGGGTTTCATGACCTCTTTTGAGTTTGTATTGTGGTTTTCTATTTAATACTGGCTTTCAATTTCCTTATCTTATATTCAACAGTCATTTTAAAGTTTGTTATTCCCTTGTGGGCTCTTTTTATTTCAGTTTTTCCATTAATTGTACTTTTCTACATTCTCGTGTGTTATTCTTTCATGTTTTTGTTTCTTGTACCTCCTGTCAGTTGCGAAGAAAATTATATTCATCTCCAGTGCTAGACAACTGCCGCAATGAGTAACGATATAAGAAAAAAACAGAATAATTCTTTGGACTTTTCAGAATGTTTTCATAATGCAATCCTCTGTTCGAAATTAATGCCTCAGTAGTAGTGACTCGTATGATTGTGTTCACTGTGACACAAGAACACACGGGTTCTAAATTTCTCGGGGTAGGGGGAACACACTCGGCAGGTCACTGGTTACTTGTTAGACCTCAGCCGGAGGATCAAACGTACACTGAAAGGATCATATGACAAAAGATCCATATCAGGCAATATTCCTTGACGACTATAATAGCACAGATTACGAAGTCAGGAAACTAGCTGTCGCACATAAATAAAGAGCACAAACAATTACACCCGCTGGTCTTGTTACGCGTCTATAATGAATATGTAAACGGCTGTTACAGCCGAGCGTAATGTGTTAAACTGCCTTGATAAGTGCTGCTAGGTTGATTTTTTTTAATGTTGATGGTAGTCAGGTTGTGGTGCTTTGATGGGCTATCAGCCAACTCTGCTAACGATAATTAGTATGATATTTTCTTTGTGAAGTTGTTCCATAAAGTCTCTGATCGTTAGGCTTGAGGTTATGTAATTAAAGGCTCCCGACCGTGTAGACTATTACAAAAAAAAAATGGAAAATGGCACGAATTCAAAAACTACTTCTTTAAATCTGCCCCACAACGAGCCCACTTTCAATGTTACTTAAACAATGCGCTAAACTTTGTGTTTTCTTGGGTGTGTTGTGTTGGTGGGACAGACAATGTGAGCACGACTGAGAGCACCACATCACAGCTGAGGCCTGAGGATGGTTGGCGCTCCCCCTCCAACCCCACAACCCCGACCACGCCCTCCTCCACACCCACCTCCGCCAAGATCACCAACCACAAAATCTCCAACAGCGATCAGACCGACTCCATCGTCTCCAACAACAGCACCACCACCACCGACTCTTCCTCCAACAAGAGCACAACCACCAACAATCTCAACAAAGTCAACAATAGCCGAAACGAAGTCATCTCCAAGCACACCCCCAATGGCCTCTCCAACGCTTCCTCCACCACCACAACTACTCCAACCACCGCCACCAACACCCCAACGGGCGATACCACCCCCAACGGACCAAAGGTGGAGAAGCAGTGGGTGGACATTGTCACAGGTGGGTATTCCGCAGGTGGGTGGTCCTTAGTGCTAGTCCTCCAGAGTGTTGGCTAGTGGTATAACCTCAAAACTTCTACAATTGTATGTGCACATCTGTAATATTTTGCTTCGCACACGACTTAACTGTTCACCACTAGAGAGGAATCTTGTTAGATTTTTCTCAGTCACAATCGCTAATATTTATACCAAGTGGCTTGGCTTGCCCTTGCTAGATTTTAATGCTTATTAGACCCTACTTTGCTTGATAGACACTTAGAAGATCCTACCTGTTAGAAGCTTACTAGACCTTCCTGTACTTGTTAGACGCTTACTAGACCTTCCTTTACTTGTTAGACGCTTTACTAAACTTTACCTTACTTGCCAGACGCTTACTAGACCTTCCTTCACTTGTTAGACGCTTTGCTAGTCCTTATCTTACTTGTTCGACACTCAGCTGACCTTGCGTCATACGTTGGGGCTCCCGTGCAAATGTTCGTCATAACTTACTCTCACCAGACACTAGAAATACTAAGAAAAGAAAATTCCAGCAACAACGGACCATTAGACTTAGGCAAGACCGTTTGCTGCCTGAGAGCCTTGTGGGAAAGTAAACATAAATGTCGATTTGACATTTAGAGCATTGGTTCAATTTCCTTTTCGATGCAAATGAATATAATATATATATATATATATATATATATATATATATATATATATATATATATATATATATATATATATATATATATATTGTATTGCTCGCAATTACATATTATGCTCAGTTATCCTTTTTTAAATTAATCAACTAGAGACAATAAAAAAAAGCATTCACTTTTTTTATGGCGTTTAGAATATCCAAGCTCCTTTTGAGTCAACTCATGATATTCACGCAAACTGACATTTTTAAATACTTTCCTTAAGTCACCCCTTATTTCTTTGTGCCTTTTAAGAGTAAATAAATCCAGCTCTTCTAAACGTTGCTTCACACGTTACACTCTTACCTGCCACGCTAAGCGATGTCGGACAACCTTCGTGGCTCGTGTTAGTCCCTCTTAATGCATGGTGACTAAAACCGGCAGCTGTGTTCCTGAATAGAACATGCTAACGAAATCTACATGGCAAGGAGCACTCTGTAGTCTACTGGAGCCAAACCAAGACCTGAGTGGTACGTCAGTGCCAAAAAGGGTGCGGTAACATGACGGGTTCTGGGAGTAACTTTATTACCAACGACGTTTACCCACGCAACACAGTGGACACCATTATTAACCACGATTGAGACACTTATGCAACATATGGGAATCTTTATTCAGGAAACGTTTCCTGAATAAAGATTTCCCATATGTTGCATAAGTGTCTCAATCTTCAACTTGTCGGTTTTTCAAACCATTCATCACAACTGTCAGACACTGCAACATCATGGGATCTTGTTACAAAGAATTCTTCTACACTTGTCCAACCTTTGGACGAAGACCTACTTCGACTAGTGGATGGTACCACTATGACCCCACCTCCTCCTGCTTCACCTCACCTCACTACAGTATATAAGCCTCGTCTACGGCCCTATGCTGTACATTCTACAAGATTGATGGACTGAACACATCGACTTCAGGCTGAGGGACTGATTACCTCAAACTCCTCCTCTCTTTACGCCTTTCTACTTTGTACTGGACTGATGAAGCCACTGTGTGGCGAAACGTTTCCTGAATAAAGATTCCCATATGTTGCATAAGTGTCTCAATCTTCAACTTGTCGGTTTTTCAAACCATTCATCACATTATTAACCACGTTTCCTCCGCACAGTGGACACTTGTCGAAAACGTTTCGCCGAAGAGTGGAAACTATACCCACAACATTTTCCCGACGTAATGGATATCTTCATTATCTACAATGAATATTTTTATTATGCACAACGTTTCGCCCATGTACTACTGTATTATCCACCAGTATTTCCATGGATGCTTATGCACAGCGTTTCGTCTATGCACTATTGTTTGTTTGCAATCGTGTCATTACGATTTCTTAAGTCAAGTCAAGTCTTTATTTGATCCTCCATGTAAGACTGCATTATCTACCATCACTTCCATGCACCATCGTATTATTAAATAGCCTCTAACGATAAACCTAATTTAAAAATCTCTGAAATTCAAGATACAGGGTTTTTACCTGCCAGGCAAAGTGAGAATTTCATCCAAGAATTAGAAAATATAAATACGAATGATTTCTCGAAAAAAATTACAATTTTTTTTTTATATATATACTTTTCCGGAGAGTTGAATTAGTTGATGTCTCGCAATATAACATTTTATCTCAAATTATTATTTTCATCAGTTTAACTGTTGCTGCATTTAAGCAAATTTGTAGAGAATTAACACATGTTTTGTTTACCGTTTAAAAATGGATTTGACATTTGCGAGTTTCCAGTGGCATTAAAAAAAAACAAAAAAAAACAAGCAACCAAAAAAAATGGTGAAAGGTTTCAATATTTCATTGTTTACTTTTTCGGAAAAACTTTCTGAACGCCAATTATTTTATTTGTTGTTTTGTGTGTAAATGACAAGAGCAAACCCACATGGAGAGAATAGAGTAGAAAATAAGAAAAGTACTGTATGGTCACGACTCGGTGAGGTCCTCTTCAGCAGACTGACAAAGTACAATACTCTTCCTGTATTCTTTATATTGTCACACTGTGGGTGTCGTTTGTGGCACTGATCAGTGATTATTACACTTTTGTGATTGCTGGAAATATTTTCTACAACGATAACAGTCTTTATGGTTGTTATGTTGTGCTGTTTGTGGAGGAATATGACCACTTTCTGCGTTTTCATTTTCTTGACATTATAAAAACCTGAGCAAACAAAGCGTTACATGGACCCTAACTCGGGTCAGCCAGTGTGGGGATGCCAGCTGACTGACCTGAGGTCAAGCTTCACGTAACATAGTTACACAACATAACCGCTATCATCACATCCCCTCCCGCAGTGCCTCTCATGATGGCGTACATCACTCGCTACATCTTCGGCACCGACAAGCTACGGCCGCAGGCATTCGAAGTTCGGGGCATCAATGGGATCAGCACTGGCGTTGTTCACTGTCAGGACGCCGCGATGCTCTCCCAGTGGATCAAACACATCACCAACAACATCATCGGTCTTACCAACCTCCAGGTCAGCTCTGCCCTCATATGCTGATGCATAAACAACTTTAACAACTCTGTTAGTCGTATCTTAAATATAAAACATATTTTGTTGAGTATTTTGAGAAATTGTTCAATGTGGTATTATGATAGAGGCAGCTATATCGTGTTCTGGACAAGAATGTGTGAAAATCTAGAGGTGAAGAAGGAAGGGGATGACGGAGTAAGAAGGTTGAAAGTGGGAAAATTAGCAGCAATGGATGAAATTCTAAAAACAGATTAAAGTGCTGGAGTTCATAGTGCGCTTGTACAGTATGTATGAAAGAACTAGAAAAAACTGTTGGATATACCAGGTAGTGCATGATGCAGTTGTGACGGGTAGACTGATTGGAAAGACAAAGCATGATTATCTCTAATCATATTGGATATCAGAAAGGGAAGAAATGAGGATCAAAAGTTTGCACTGAAATAAACAAGTGAGTAATACCTATATATAGGGAAATAAGCCATTTGTTCAATTTAATGGATTTGTAAATGACATATGGCTGGATAGGTGATTTAGCTGGAGCTTAAAATATAAAAAAATATAGATGATACTCTTTTGAATAATGATGCTATGCAGAGACTCACATTAAATTACATACGAAATAAGGGAAATATTTTCCAGTAAAAGTAGGTAATGTACAGTAATGTGGGATGACGCTATGAATTCTTTAATGTTTTTATATAAAAGGTAATAAGATAAATGAATAGTATGACAAAGTGGGAGTTATCAGAGTTGCTGTTTCAAGATGAGGCAGCCCAGTTGGAAGGTTGTGTAGAAGGAAGATGAAAGTGAGTGCAAAAAAAAAAGCAAAGTAATGAAAATGGCTGGAATGGATGTAGTGGGTAAGAAGTGACCGAGTTCTGATATTTGGGAATGAATGTCTTAGTAGGCTGGTTCATGAAAGAGTAGATGAGAGTAAAACATTTTGAAATAAAGTTGCAAGAATGTAAGGGAATCTGTGGAAAGAAGCAAATTTGACAGTGGATGTAAAAGGAAAATTCATAGTGATGTGAAATTTTATTGGCACTGATGAAAGGCATGTTCTTTGAACGATGTAGCGAAGCGGAGGCTGCAGGTACTGGAAATATTGTGACTGAGATCAATGAGTGGTGCGAAAAATTAAGCCATTGTGCAGTGGCTGGACCAAATTACAAATAAAACTGTATTCTGAAGAGGAAGGTTTAGACGACTTATCAGCTAGTTCAGGATCATTGGCAAGTTACAACCGAACGAGAAAATGTGAAGATTATTAGAAGACGGTTAACTGAAGAAAGGTCAGTTCTCGCTCAGTTGTGACTTGATAATGGTCCAGAACGTGTTGAAACCTCACCTGAAGTTTCCACTTCATAGAACTGTTATTTATGAATTGTGATGTGAATATTATGCACTGAATAAGATTACAGCAATCACAAGGCTGTATTAAATTCATTATTCAAAAGTGGAAAAAGATTGTTACCATAGTTTGAATATGGTAAAATGATGGTTTAATGTGGGTTTATGTTGTAGGGAAGATTTGAGGAAGGGTGAGAGTGAGGTCATGATAAGTAGGAACTTGAGCTTTCAACCTGCGTGAGCGAGCGTGTTAGGTATAAAGTTAGTAGAAGCAAGTGGTCGTCGGAATTTGACGCTCTGTCAGAGTGTGAGGATGGTAACTGGTTAGTAGTTGGACTTAGGTCTTATAAGGGAAATTTACAAGGCCTGCACTTTGAATGGGTGGAAATAATGAGAGAAGATGAGTCATCACTATATCTTGAGGACTGTGTCCTTATTATTCACATAATATTCACATCTTACCTGTTACATGTTATAACTTTAATTAAATAATCTTTACTTTTCTTTGTTGAAGCAATGTAAGAAATTCTGTTATATGGAACCTTTTTTTTTTTTTTTTTTTTTTTTTGACGAAGTTTCGCTCTTCCATCGTTGCTTAATAAAACCCACTACGTGGAAGAAACAGTCGTCAACATTGGTTCCAAATAGCCGAATATTATTTCCTTACCATATGTCTCTATCTCATACCATCACATACCCGGTATGTTACACCAATGTTATTCACTACCTATAAAAAAAAGTTTATCTTTCACTTTACATACAACAGCTGCCCCTTTTGCATTAGTTTTCTTATTGTAAACTATCTTGCCTACTGTGTCTCGCCCTCCCCCCCTTCCCTACCACATCTCTTCCCTTCACTCCTCCCCACATCCTCTTCACTTCCACTACCCTCCGACTTGTCCTCCCCACTTCCCTGCCACTTCATGCCCCACCACACAAACTCAATTATATTCATACTTACGTCAACCATCCCAATAAAGCTACTAACGAACAAGGCTTTGAATAAATAATAATCAAAGTTATAGCAACAAAAATAATGATAATACTAGTAATAATATTATTAAAATAATAATAAGAATTTATTGCTGACGTAGGAAAAATAAGGATAAACGTAACACGCTACTGTAAAACACTCAAACTGTGAGCGTCATCCAGGATTCCAGAGTCGAGAGTATTTCCAGATGCTAGTCAGAGGGAAAATGATGACCCAGAGCGCAGCATTATGTGCTATTCTTGACCCATCCTTAAGATACCAGTTAAATTCAATGGAACGATGATATTTCGTGGGAGGCACCACAAGAGGTGGGTCCTCGTCTGCTTGGCAAACTCTTCTCAGGATTTTGGTGTAAGAGGCTAGTAGGAATACTCTCATTTGAGAGACTGACTTAGGCAGCATCACGCTCACTTTCCAGTAACACCTAACACTCCAGCACAAGAGGATAGAAGACTAGGAGATAGAATATGTGAGAGTTTTATTTTTGCCTTCTACCTCTTTAATTTATTCTGCTAAAACGATGCGTCTTCATAACAGTTCCTCAGATATAACTTGATAATGGTCCAGGAAAGACCGAAACATCGTACAAACGTTTCCTATCGCAAGTGTGTACGTAGTTTTTTTTTTTTTTTGCGAAGAGTTCCAGCCACTGTGTTGTGTCGTATTTCCTCAGTGTGTGTACGTGGTGTTCGTAATATTTGGTGATATTCGTGTTTCTCACTTCTGTCCCACTGATTGTATATCAATAAGAAATATTGAAGACCTCTGTTGTCCCATTTGTCCTCGTGATGTCATAGGATAGATTGACTGCAGGAAGGTTAATCCTTTATAAGAAATACTATAGTACTTAAAGAACAAAAGGCACAATACCGTAATTAAAACAAGACTTTAATAACTGGCACCGACTTGGGGCAACTATGATCTAAGATTTATCCCTTGAGGCACATATAATTAGGTCAACTCTATACATCAACTGTATATGTATATATTATACATCACATATTGGGGAGAAGCCTAGAGTATGCAGCGCCAGATTGTAACCCACACCTGAACTAGTAAATATGTTGGAGAAACATCACAGGTTTGCAATTACACTGGTCCAGGAGCTGAGAGGAATAAGCTAAAAGACAAATTAGAGGAGGCAGATCTCACCATATTAGGGGAGCAAGATCCAGAGGAGGTATGATCACAACGTTCAGGATACATGAATTAATAGATTCTAGATGGAGAGGCTGGGATTGGAGGCGGATGAAAACTGCACATTCAAATATGCTGCAAAGATTTTTGAAAAAAAAATCTGTGGCATTTTGATGGAATGAACTGGATGAGACTCGCAGTTTACAGTTTGAGGATTTAGTTTTGATAGATCCAAAGGGATTAGAATCTCTCTACGTCGATCATGGAAAGGAAAATACTCGAGGCTTGTAGCTGAAAGTCATTTGACAGCAAAAGTTACATAATGGTTCACTCTGACCGGCTGACTCGGCAGGTATATATCAGAGGATATATGTTTTCACTACGTTACAAAGGGTCACCTTCCTTGCCGCCTTACCAAGCCGTCCCTTTTCCACATTCTTTAACCGTGCGTGTGTAAATGCACGCTCAAAATATCGGAATAAGTCCCACGCTGCCAGACGTAAGCCACCAGTCTTTCTGATTTCCTTACTCTCTGAAAATTATTAGAAAAATTTAAATTAATATGCACCAGTGAACCCTAGCCTAACTAAACCAAAACGAGGATAACAAATATCAAATTGTTTTGCGAAATTTCAAACTGGCAGAAATACACGAAAGATAATTCGTGGAACTTGGCTACACTCACTGTACAACAGTTTGGACCAAGACTTTTATAAGTCACTTTAATAATAGTGTTTGAAAACATATATAACAATCAGTAACAATATCCTTCCTCTCACACTTAAACAAAAACCAACAAAACACAAACTAATCTTAAAACCAATAGCAATAAAAGAGAACTCTATTTTCAACATATCCATTAAAAGAAAATAAAACTAAAACATTTTATCCTGAAAAATAGAGGATTTACCAGCACCGCGAGAAACCTTCCGTGCCGTGATATGTGACGCTGGCAACAGTGTAGAAAAGATTTTAGATTCTCCGTGTAAGTTGTAAATTTTAGAGTCCTCCCGAAGGTGACCGAGGTAAGTGCCGGGAAGGAGACAGTCCTGGGGTCAGCCTAGGAAAGTAGCGAAAGTGGGGAGTAGCAATGGGTGGGTATAGAGAATTTGCAAGAATTTTAAGTATAGAATTAGCAAGGATGGAAAGTAGGAAAGTAGCGAGGATGGAAAGTAGGAAAGTAGCTAGGATGGGAAGTACAGAGGTAGTAAGAATTGTAGATTGGGAAGAATCAGAAATGGTATGTAAGGAAGTGTCACGAAAAGTTTAGGTCTGGGAGAACTGAGAGAGACTGGCGAAAGTGGTAAGACTTAGAAACTAGAAGATTTCTGCGTCGATTTAAGAAAGTGGCAAAAGATTCATTCTTTTATTCTTTCATCACATATTGAATTACTGCTTCGTGATAAAGTTAACAAGTTAGCCAAGAAGGTAGATAGAACTTTGGTGTGTCTGTGTCTAGCACTAGAAATATTAGGAGAGAAGTAAATAATGGAACTGTTATAGGAATGCAGTTAGAAGCCGGAGTAGAGCTATCACTCACTATGATAATATGAACGTAGATAAGTACGTTCATGGAGCAACTTGTCATGTGAACAGACTGACTGATGTTGTTGTAACCAGGCTTAGTCTTGGTTACGAGTATTTCTGGCAGTTTGACAGACACACACATGATGATTAAACCAAATATAAAGTATGTGGCCAACCCTATGGCCACTATCTTGAACACTGTGCTTTATTGTCCAATTATTGAGGAATATAGAGATATACAAACCATACCACTGGTGGGGTTTGAATCCGCGGTCAGAGGGGTTTGGAATCGTGTCGTTACGATTTCGTGAGTCAGATATATACGGTATAATTATCTATATGATATGTCAAGATATCTTATTAATGAAAATAAGATACCAGACATATTAAGCAAATATCCTAAATTTGCTTACAACAGGCAAGTCAACTGTAGAAATAAATTCGGCCTAGTTCATAGGCCTTTTGTGTATTCACACACTCTGGTTTTACCATCCACAGGATGGATATAGTGTACATAGTAAACTAGAAACTTCAGAGGCAAAATATAAAATCATTTATATTTTAATTTTCTAAAAAAAAAAAAAAAATCATCGTCCCAAGTTTCCTGCAGTTTCTCTTAAGTCTCCTCCTCCACCTCATCCTTCTCATTTTCCTCCTCTTCCTTCTCCATTACCCCTCCTCCTCCTCCTCCTCCTCTTCTTTCCCCACCTTCTTCCATTCCGTCCTTTCTTCAGGTAAGACAGTCTCCTTTCCATTTCTTAATTATTATATCCCTCTCCATATGTTTACGTCTTCACTTCTCAGTATGTTCCTTTCCGTCGCCTCATTTTATCCCTCTCCTTCTCCTCCATTCCCTCAACAGACGTCATTTTTTCTTGCTCACCCCTTCCACGTCTCTCCACATCTTGCATCCACTTCCAACTCCTTCATCCCTCGCTGTACACGTGGATGTTTTTCATTGTAAACTGGTTCTATATCCTTGATTCACCTGTGTTACAGATGCTGCTGCCAGCCTCACTCATTCACTCACTCTCCAGCGTTCCAGTTGAAGCTGCCAGCCTCACTCTCCACGTTCCAGTTGAAGCTGCCAGCCTCACTCATTCACTCACTTCCCAGCGTTCCAGTTGAAGCTACCAGCCTCACTCACTCACTTCCCTGTGTTGCAGATGAAGCTGTACAACTCCAGTTTCCCTGCGTCTGAGCATGTACTTTACATGGGGTGGGTGTGCGAGGGTGTACTGAACCACAACCTGCCCTGGCAGAACTGGAAGCCCAAGTTCATTGCACTGAAGGGCACAGACATCTATATGTTTGACACTCCGCCAGTGAGTATAACCTCTCCTTTTACTCATTCCTCTGTATTTTTCTTTCTCACGGTGCTTCTTACACCTCTCTTTCCATTCCATTCCCTTGAGAGTGCTACGGAAATACATTAAATTCCTTTACTGTTCAGTTTGAAAGAAAATACTTCCTAAAATCCATACCATATCCTAACTTCCACATTTTAAGCATGTTCTCTCATCGTCCTTGATGCAAATTGCAAAATATATTTTTTGACTCGCTTAAAGCTCTTTCGAAAATGTTGAGATGGTAATCCACTAGCTTCTGTCGTTGATGAGTTTAGAAACGACAGCACTGTCGTTTTTAAATTCATCATACTTTACACTGATAAGTCATGGTTGCTTAATTCTTGATACCCATCACCAGAACTTCAGTGTTGACGCCAAGGTTAACGCCAAACAGCGTTGACGCCAAACAGTTTTGACGCCAAACAGTGTTGACGCCAAACAGTGTTGACGCCAGTGTTGATTCCAGTGTCGACGCCAGTGTTGACGTCAGTGTTGACGCCAGTGATGACGCCAGTGTTGACGCCAAACAGTGTTGTCACCAGGGAGTGTTGACACCAATAACAATAATGAGTCTGGGAAAATAATGAGTCTAGGAAAAAATTTCAAAGATTTATGAAGGAGTTTGGAAGGTGTGTCAAAGGAGGAACTTGAATTTGAACCTAAAGTAAGAAGGTGATGAGAGAAACAAAAACAAATAGGCACTAAGATATTAGTAATCAGGCTGGAGGGACGGAGTATGGAGAATGATTATGGCTTAGATATTTGGGAATGGATGTGTCGGTAGATAGGTCTATGAATAATGGATCATAGAATATACGAACATACGAGGATAAAAAAAGAGGAATGTACCAAAACTTATGTGTGGGTGTGTTGTGTGATCTCTGAAGGGTGCAGCGAGGCCGAGGCAGTGGAGATATGTTTGCTTGCAATGTTCGGTATAAATATTATGCAGGGAATTAAATGCACGGAAATTAGAAGGCGGTGTGGGGATTATAAAAGATATAATTGAAAGGATGGAGGATGAAGTAGACTAGGATGGCAAAGAGGGTGCAAGCTACACCCTACACCTGCGAAGGTGTAGGGTGAGAATTAGACTAGATGCCTGAAGAAAGAGTGAGGTAAGGAAGAGAAGCGAAGCCTTACAGAGTGATGAGGCGAGGAAATGGAGGGGGAGCTGTCAAATGGTAGAATGAGGTTAGGAGGAGAGGAGTGTTACCAGTTGCCAGGATGGAGGTAAGGAGAAAGGATGGTTTTTACAAATTCTTTTTTTTTTTTTTTTTTTCAGCTCATTAAACTCACGTTAACACTGACCTCTGAGCAGGTTCTTCCTCAAGAAAGTAAATTACCCTGAATTAACATACTGAAAGCTTTTCCCAATTCGCTTCTCTCTGCTGAAAACACACATTTTTTAATGAATGTTATCAAACCAAAAAAAAAAAAAAAATCCTTTCTCTTTTCCCCCTCTCTTTATACTTCTGCTTCATTTTTCATCTTCCTCCATATTTTTTTACCACTTCCAGCTCTTCCCATCCTTCTTCTCTTCTTTTCCCTCCTTCCTGCTCTCCCGGAATCCCAAGAAGTATCGTGACTAAGTTTGGAGACCACGACCCGTCCGTGATTTCCCACGACTTCATAATTATCTGGTTGCCGCCTCGACAAAATTGCGTACTGGAGTGAATGTGGTGGTTCAGAGGACGCAATTATCGTCACTCCAGGACCCTCATCCCTGTACGCCTCGCACCCTGCCATCGCTCTTGCATCCTGCCTTCCTCTCTGCGCACTCTTCCCCCCCTACCTTTATAAAGCCTTTTCCCAGTACCCTGCCTTCCTTCCAATACCCTGCACTTTCGTTCCCTGGGCATGTTGGTACGCCCTCTACACGCCAGTGTCTTGGGCGATCAGACAGGCAGGCAGGCAGGCAGGCAGGCAGGCAGGCAAGCAGGCTGGCAGGCAGGCAGGCAGGCAGGCACACACGTCCACTGCATTACCATCCCTTCACTCACCTAATCTCCACCCCGCTCCAACCTCACCACCGCATTATACCGCCTCCTAGTTACCTTCCTCTCAGGTTTTCTCTGACGCTTTTTTTTTTTTTCTCTCTCTGCACACGTCTTTTATTCGGTTTTCCATTATATATAAAAAGTATTCTCCAATACTCATTTCGTATTTGTCTTAGGGTTTTAGCCTATTTTCTTTCGTACAATATGGCTTTTGTATCTTGCATTCGACTGTAGACTTCATGAAATTTAGAGCAGTCGGAGATCCCGTCTCGCTCGTCACTCTTTCCCCTCCTTGTTACTGTTGTTAGTTTATCTGTCAGAGATGAACCTTGACACGAGTCTTTGTCTTAAGGTCATACGTTCAGGTGTGCTCGCTTTATAGCAAGGCACAGCAAGACTGTGTGCAGGGGCCCTGTGATGGATCACGGACTCTCGTCAGAGTATTCTGTCTCATCTTTCATCAAATCATATCCGTTCTCTTACTCCGAGTGTTCCATATCGAAAGGTGCATGGTGGGAAACTGTCTCCTGCTCCCATATACTTATTAAATTTATACTTATTACCGTTATACCTCTACTTATTACTCATAAGCTTGTTACTCTAAAGTGAAGCAGAGGCTTTACTTTCTCTTCATGCGTACCATATATTATGGCCATCTTCTTTGCTTTAATCTTTCGTGTTTCCTTCCTCCCATTATCTATTGATCTATTACCCTGAAATTTTTCATTTATCTCAGTATTGACTTTCCAAGTGAATTTTCCTCACCTACCCCCACCACCATCCTGCCTCTCGATCCTCTGTTCACAACTCAACAACTCTTGTGGGAACCTGCTCTCAAGATCAGTCGAGGAATGAAACATCGCTGTTCGAATGATATCCTTGAGAAGAATGCAAAGTGTAAATGTTGATTGCTGCCCGTCGTGTGATGTGATAGCTGTTTGTTGACTCTCACGAAATTAAACCATGTGGAGGACTTTGAGAACACGGCTTTGTAATGAAAAGGGTCAAACTTCTCTTCTTTTGAAAATGTGTGAGCGCTGTGTGCAGTCCGTTTGCCCAGAATTCAGACATAGCATAGGGGATGAAATCAAATTTGTTCCAGCTCTCTGTCAAAGGCCTACTTTTTACTGAAAATAATCTTTCTCCTATATATGACCCGGTTTCCCCATTAAAACTTTTACGCTTTCAGTAACCTACCCCTATTCATTCTTGCAACTCTGCCAATTCCTCCCTACCCCACCCTATCATTGTCTTTTCCAATCCATTAAGCCCCCAAAACTTCTTTCTCTTATCTAAATATGTTCCTTTTTGTTTAAATATTTTTACTTGGGTTTCACATCCCCTACTCCTAAAACCCCTAAAGCCTCCCGTTCATCTGCGATCCTCTTTTTCTCCCCCTTTCCCTTATTCTTTCAAAAATAACTCTACCCTTACCTTTATATTTATATATATATATAATATATTATTTATAATATATATAATATATTAAAAATATATATTATATTATTTAAATATAAATATATCGGCCCCAATAGGCAGAACTTGCGATCTTGGCTTAAATAGCAACGCTCATCTTGCCATATAGGACAAGTGAAAAATTTGTGTATGCAATAATTTTCCAAAAGCATTCTGAACCTAACTAAAAATATATATTTCACTGTGTTTGTTTAATAATAAATTATTGTAAACAAATATAAAATATATTTAGTTGGTTAGGCTAAAATTGTTTTTTTGTTATAAAAAGGGTTAGGAAAGTTTTCTAAGATTCTTTTGGAGCAAAATTAAATTTTTTTACATTAATATTAATGAAAAAAAAATATTTTTAAACGTATAAGAGAAAATTTTAGAAAGGACTTAATTTTAAATGAGTTCTTGCAATTGACCAGTTTTTACATATTCGGGCACGAATATATATATATATATATATATATGTATATATATATATATATATTATAAATATATATATATATTATATTATATATATTTTATATATATATATATAAAAATATAAAATTTTATAAAGTTAATCTGTGGTTAACTCATATGTAACAATTTATAATTGTTTCCTATTGCTGTAACTCAAGTAGGTATAGAAAGGAAGCTTGTTATAAGGAACATCTTTAGGAACTGCTGCCCTAAGTACAAGAAGTGACAATTATAATATATATATATATGTCGTGCCGAATAGGCAGAACTTGCGATCTTGGCTTAAATAGCAACGCTCATCTTGCCATATAGGACAAGTGAAAATTTGTGTATGCAATAATTTCGCCAAAATCATTCTGAACCTAACGAAAAAAATATATTTCACTGTGTTTGTTTAGTATTAAATTATTGTAAACAAATCTAAAATATATTTAGTTGAGTTAGGCTAAAATAAATTGCGTTTGTTATAATGAGGGTTAGGTAAGTTTTCCCAAGTTCCTTTTGGTGCAAAATTAAAAATTTTTAATCAAAATTAATGAAAAAAATATATCTTTAAACGTATAAGAGAAAATTTTAGAAAGAACTTAATTTTAAATGAGTTCTTGCTAATTGACCAGTTTTACATATTCGGCACGACATATATATATATATATATATATATATATATATATATATATATATATATATATATATATATATATATAATATAATATAAAATATGTCGTGCCGAATAGGCAGAACTTGCGATTTTGGCTTAAATAGCAACGCTCATCTTGCCATATAGGACAAGCGAAAATTTGTGTATGCAATAATCTCCCCAAAATCATTTTGAACCTAACGAAAAAAATATATTTTATTGTGTTTCTTTAGTACTAAATTTTTGTAAACGTATTTAAAATATATTTAGTTGGGTTAGGCTAAAAAAATTGCTTTTGTTATAATAAGGTTAGGTAAGTTTTCTAAGATTCTTTTGGTGCAAAATTAAAAATTTTTAGATTAACATTAAAAGAAAAAAATATATCTTTAAACTATAAGAGAAAATTTCAGAAA